TTAAACATGATAATGTGTTTTCGTGTTTACAGAAAGTGGATGGTTCATTGCAGCATGTCTGATTATCACTTGAGGCTATAACTCATTTGTAGTAGAAGTACAGGTTATGACTTAGGTTTCAGTGAAGTACTCTTTTGCACTATATGACGATACTATTTGTTTTAGTGTGACTGACCATCTGTAATAGATGGTGTTTCCATTTATATTTGAATGGTTGACTCTTTGACACTATATCAGGTTACTGTTTGTATTTGGGTGGATGCTTTTTGCAGCTTATCAGGCCATCATCTATGTTTGTGTGTATTACTAAACACAGATTACCACTTGCACTTGAGTGTATACTATTTTGAATTACAAGTTGATCAACTGATAACTCTTTTGTTATAGCTCAACTTTCATCTTTTGATTGAGCGGAAAATATATATGCTGCTAAGATGGTTGAGTTACTTATGATTTTAACTAAGGTTGAGAATGTATTTTTACAAGTTTATTAAACTGCTTATAGTTTTCTTGGAATTTCGCATATAAGGCGAAGTAACTCTATTAGCACACATTCCTTATAATTTCCATTTCTATCTCACAACTTCATAGATCTGCATAAGAAAGAAGAAAAATACCATTCCCTCACTGAACTAACAACTTCGTTCAATATATACTTAATATTAAACGCCTTTAATAAGTTTATAAGAGTTATTCAACGAGAGATAACGTTAATCTTTCTGTGATCCTACATATTATGAATTCATTCCATGATATTTCCCTTAAAGAGAGTTTTTCTTGATCAGAGAAAATAATACAACAGTTTTTTCACATAAAGTATAAGGTCCTCCGTAAGTTGGTTTCTATCTAACTCGTATAATCTTGAATACATGAATTTTCTTTAAAATAAAATTTCCTGATCTGTTTGTGCAAAAATATTACTAAAACAAAAAGTATGATTTCATGTAGGCATTTTATTCTCCTCTCTCAACTATCGGCCCGGCATGGCCAGGTGGTTAGGGAGCTCGACTCGCAATCTGCGGGTCGCGGGTTCGAA